CTCCTGCCGGCCGCAGACGCCCCGCACCGGCGCAGCTGCAGCCCAAAGCGTCGCCTGGAGCTCTAGACGGGAGGAAAAGAGCCCAGGTGTATAGCCGAGGGCCTGAAGTGGGGCCCCGAGCCGCGGGACAGCCACGGCAGCAGCAGTTTCGGGGGGACTCAGCTTCCGCAGGAGGCCCAGCCTGGGCTAACGGTTGGATCTGGTCACTTGAACTCAAGAGTTTAGTGAGCCCCATGATGCTGCCTGAGTGAGTGAAGGGGCAGCAGGTTAACTCAGACTTTGTTCCCAGGACCCTGGAGAGCCACAGTTAGCCAGACACGGGGCTTGTCTCCCCTAGAGGGTGCCCCACGTGGCTTCCCGGACTGCAGCCCCGTGGCCCTAGACAGATCCGGCCTTGGGGTAGAGCAGGGAGGGTGCCAGGAGACGCGCCTTTAAGATAGAATAGTTGTCATTGTTTTAATGAGCATGCGTGTTCACCCTGTGTGCGTGTGGAGGCCCAGGGACACCCGCAGCTCCTCTCCAGGAGCCGTGCACCTTGGTTTTGTTTTCTTTTGACGGGGTCCCACTATGTAGACTAGGATGTCCTGAAACTCAGAGAGATCCCCCTGCCTCAGCCAGGCCTACGCCTCCACACCTGTCTATCTTTCCTGGGGATGTGTTTCGCGGCCTCTGTCTTTCTGTCCATCCCACCTCCGTAGACCGCTGGAGGGTTAACAGCATCATCCTCGTCTCACAGCTCTTAGAACGGGGCCCAGGACGCACCCAGGGTTCAGCGAACTTTGTGGATAAAAAGCCAGATAGTAAACATGGTCAGAGTTGTGGGCCAGATGGTCTGTGCCTAAAGAACTGTACTCTGTCGTGGACACCAAAGGAGCAGGAGATATGTGGAGGTGATTGTGTGCCAATAAAACTTTATCAGCATTGATAGGCTGTACACTGTGTGCCAATAAAACTTTATTGACAGCCGGGCAGTGGTGGCACACGCCCTTAATCCCAGCACTCAGGAGGCAGAGGCAGGCGGATCTCTGTGAGTTTGAGGCCAGTCTAGTCTACAGAGCGAGATCCAGGACAGCCAGAGCTACATAGAGAAACCCTGTCTGAAAAAACCAAAAATACAAAACAACAACAACAAACCTTCACTGACAAAGACAGGCTGAGTGCCATATTTTGCTGAGCTTACGTTAGGTGCTCAAACTGACAGCTGGTGTCTTTGCTGTTCCCGGCCTCTGTCTTTTCTGCCTAGGAGAATTATTGAACTCTTACTGTAAGCATTGGTGATTCAGAACAGTGTCTTCAGAGAGGCAATGCTCTTCGTCTCCTGAACGAGCGAGTTAAGGTTTGAAGTTCTTTCTGTGCGAGAGTGAGGGCACCTGCCTGTAACCCCAGCACCGGGGAAATGGAGATGGGAGGAGCCCTAGGGCTCCCTGGCCGTCCATCCTAGCCAAAGTTCCAGGCCAGGGAGAGATCCTGTCTCAAGACACCGGGTGGGTGGCACTTAAGGAACGGACGGACGGACGTTGTTCTCAGGCCCTCACACATTCTCCCCTCCCCCACAGAAGCATGCACCCATGCAAAATAGAAATAGAAAAGTAAGGGATTCAGGGGCTAGGCGTGGAGACGCACACCCTTCCTCCCCGCACTGAGGTAGGAAGGTCACCATATAGTGAGATTTAAAAAAAAAAAATGTTTTAATTGAAAAAGAAGAGAAAAAACCAGACGTGAGCCTGTCACCCAGCTCTCGGGAAGCAGAGGCTCATGGTTCAGGGTTCTCATCGGTTACATAACGAGGGCGTATGGGAGGGCTGAGATCTCAGGGAACATTTATCTCCTGCTCCGGCCCTAATCCTCGCAGGGTCCCCAGACTTTCTCAAGGCTCCCTGACGGAAAAGCTCCCTGGCTTTCTCAAGGCTGTGCAGTGCTCCCGGGGGCTGCTGTGAGCTCCGAGGTTGAGGTCAGCACAAGGTGGTTTCACAACTGATCACCAAAGCGGAAGGAAGTGGGGGAGCAGAAATGGCTCCCCGAGTCGCCGCCCGCACCTTCCCCTCACTGGCTGTGTGTTTTTTCTTTTGTTTGTCAAGGCAGGGTCTCATTATGTAGGCCTGGCTGTCCTGGAACTCTCTCTGTAGACCAGGCTGGCCTCGAACTCAGAAGGACCCACCTTCCTCTGCTTCCCGAGTGCTGGGATTAAAGGCGTGGGCCATCACCACGGGCTAATGTTTACTTTTCACGGTCTGGATGTGTTCCTGTGCCTGTGGACCACACGCATGCAGTACCCACAGAGGCCAGAAGAGGGCATCAGATCCCCCGCAACTAGAGTCAGGAACTACTGTCAGCCACCGTGTGGGATGGGAGCGGAACCAGGTCCTCCGGAAGAGCAGCCAGTGCCCTAACCGCTGAGCCACCTCTCTGGCTCCTCTGTGTGATTTTTGGCAAGGTCTTACTCTGTAAACCAGGCTGGCCTTAAACTGACCGAGACCCACCTGCCAGTGTCTCCAGAGTGCTGGGTTTAGAGCTGAGCACCGTCCATCCAGCCTGGCTTTCTTTCTGTCCTTGCCTTTGTCTCTGTCCTCCCCGCATCTCGGCCTCATTCCGTCTCCAGTTCTCCCTCCCTCCCTCCCTCCTTGTGGCTGTCTCTCTGTGGCTGTCTCTGTTTGTGTCTCTCCCTTTCTCCATCTGAGATCTCTCCCCCGACCCCCACCATGCTGTGCTGTCTGTTGCCATCATCCCCCC